CATTCACATGACATTTATCACCTTATTGACCTAATTATCAACTAACAATTTAATCACTAAATGCTCAATTTTAAATACTAGCATTGCAGGCCGATGGGGCCGCCTTCTCATGGACTAAGATATAGTTCAGATCTATCACAGGCTTATAGTCTAATGGTTGAGATTAAGGTGGTTCTTGGCATGCTGTTAAATATAACATATATTATTTTAGCACATTATCTGTTTAGGTCACAATTATCTTATTTAAGTTCACATCAACCTCTCTAATACATCACTTCAAAATCCAACTCATATCTCATGTTTTTTCGTAAAAAATCAAAAATATATTAATTTAGCACTGTCTCGAAAACAAAGTCTTATTATTTTTTAGGTTTTTAGTAATTTATATGTTTTGTTTATTTTGTTTGTTTTCAATATTTTCTTACAGACTAGTCGCCAATAGATGGGTCAATGCTTAAACTCCAACCTCACGCCGTCTCATTGGGTTGTGGTACAATCTTGGGCAAATTAAAAATCCACATATTGACAAGATTTAGCAATTAGGAATTGTTTTGGAAGATAGTTAATAAGTTGGTTTTTTTTATATTTTTTGACTTTTTTTTTTAAAAAAAAGTGTAAAAATACGAGAGACTTAATGTGATCCAAAATGGGTTAGAAATTGGAAGGTGACTTCAATATCTTCCCAAAATATAGCCCTAAATGATGACTCTTAATTTTCTAATTAGTCATAGATTATGACTCTCTATATAGATGTGGATGGGTTCAAATTTCAAGTGTAATCATTATCTAATGATTTCATTTTCCATCTTCAAAGAAGACTCTCTACACATAACTTTTCATTGTCTGGATCAAGGGACTACATATGTCAGGAGAAAATTACACTAAAAAAAAATTGACTTTTTGCGACGGTAAAATACCGTCGCTAATACTCCTGAATGCCGTCGCTAACTAACTTTTTGCGACGGTAAAATACTTTTTTTGCGACGGCAAAGGGGGGCGCCTGCAGGGTTTGCAAAAGATGTTTTTTGCGAGACGGTAAGTGCCGTCGCTAATGATTTGCGACGGCATTTTTTACCTTTTTGCGACGGCACCGTACAGTCGCTAATAACGTTTGAAATTTCTTGACTTTTTTGCGACGGCCTTATTTTACCGTCGCTAAAAATGTTATTTGAGACGGCAAAAAATACCGTCGCTAATAGTCTTTTTCTTTAAAAAAACACTGTTTTTTGCGACGGTGTAGTGTCGTCGCAAAAAGTATAAAAAATATAAAATTTTCTATTTTTTGCGACAGTGTAATGCCGTCGCAAAAAATATTAAAAAATAATAAAATTTTTATTTTAAATAATAAAATTTCTATTTTTTGTGACAGTATAATATCGTCGCAAAAAGTAAAACCTATAACAAAATTAATAAAAATATTAAAAATTTCTATTTTTTCCGACGGTGAAAAGAGCTGATTATTTACATTCCATTCACAAAAACATCATAACAGAAAATAAAAATAAAAATTGATCAAACCATCAAATTCAATATTTTACAAAGAATAATTAAACTGTACATGTTCATAAAAGCATATTTAAATTATAAAATTCACCCAAATCCTAAAAAAAATAAAATAATAAAATAAAATCTAAAATTCACCAATCAGCACATTGGATATTTAAATGCTCTTACAAAAAATAAAAAAATAAAAAATTTCCAACAAGATCTCAATTTTGAGCCTATTTCAAAAATCAAGCTGCAAATTCCTTACTTCTAGAATCAGATCTTCCCCTCGGCAAAATTTATCCTTTTGACCTACAAATAAATAGATAACAGTTGCAAATTATAATCTTTTGGAGAAACCAACTATTTAAACACCAGTAATGAAGACAATGAAAACTGTGGAAAGAACACTTACGTTGTCATCAGGAACAACTGCATATCTCTCAGAGTAAACTTTAATCGGGTCTACTGGTTTTTTGTGACATCACTATCTCCTGAACATCACAAAGAACAAACCAAAGTTAACACCAATATTTCACTATCACATCATCATCAATTATTATCATTCAATTATAGATTAAGGTATACTTAGTTTCATGTATCATTCAGCTCCAAGGCACTAAACTAACAATGTGATCTCATCAAATATATGCTATATGTTGTAAATTCATGCATGAGCAACGATTATATAAATTTTGCACATGAAAGGAAAAATAATAATACAATCACCTAGGTTTGCCTAGGGTCTTGGGTGCTCTACTGAATTTTCTACAATATCCCCCACCAACATTGGGGCTTTGCACTCCAGCAAAATCCGTAGGTAAGGCTACACATACACCTAGACCCGATCCATACCACAGAGCATCATTGACGATCCTTGCATAAAGAAAGATTTAATACCTTGCACATTGCCTATTAGTCTGTTGGCCTAGAGAGATAGAGCACATTGGTGGATCTTCATATAATAAGAAGGCAAAGACTGATTATAACATGGGAAAAATCAGCTCATCTAAGAACCTAAACTTAAAACTTCCTTACCTTCAATAAATCTCATGGCACAACCAGTAAATGATGTATATGAAATATCAAAAGTAACTGAAACAAAAGTATCCTTTTCATGAATAACACCACTAATAACTTTGAGCCATACACATGAGTATGAATTACGTACGATTCATGCAAAGCTTCATTACCTATGATTCATGCAAATCTTCATATGATAATAAGGTCCATAGAATTTTTAATTTTTTTATAAAAATTTTAGGGACAAAAATAAACATGATGTTGATGCTGTCTTTAGGCCATGTTCACAAGTCCAAACCGAGTAGCAGCATACATCATCAATCATTAGGTAGCGTCAAAATAACTATATAATATTGTTTATGTAATGTTTTGAGCAAATAAAGAGCCGCAAAATAAGTTAGGCGAGTAGTTCATTATTTCTCACCAATTTAATAAAAATGAATAAACATTGTACTATCCCGTAAAATTTTTCACTATGCTTATATTTGGAAAAAGTAAAGGACAATAGAAAAGTATATATTTTATTTCCATTTGTCTCACTTTTTTCATAATCTAAACACAATTTACGTGATTAATTAAAAAGCGTCCAAAGCGACAGAAATATTCAATATCCATTTGTCTCACTAGTCAGAGCATAATACTGTGAATTCTTAGTTTTTTCAACGTCCAAAGCGACAGAAATATTCAAGATTTCTTCTTTTAAATATATATCTTTGTGGCAGCTTCCTCATAACTTGAATCCTAATGCATTTTCCACATATTGCATACAATATTCACAATTTTTAGAGATGTTTTCACAATTTTTAAATAGTTTCATACACCATTCACATTTCTATAACAGAAATGATTCCACTTGAAAAATAATTTTTAGTCATTTCCCCTTTTCAGTCAATCATAGATTGACAACAAGATCTAAATAGACCCTGAATCTTCGATTTCTCATTATTTGATATATGACAACCAAAAAAAAAAATGAATCTCTACTCATCAGAGCATAATACTATGGATATTTCGTTCTTTCAACTTTCAAAGCAACCAAAATATTATAGATTTCTTCTTTTTTATATTTCTTTGTGGAATCTTCCCAATAATTAGAAACCTAATGCATTTCCACATATTTCATACAATATTTACAATTTTTAGAGATATTTTCGTACACTATTCACATACTTCTACACAATTTTTTTCACATACATCGCAACTAATGACTATAATTTTCCTAAATATGCACAAGATCCAAATAACAATATTGATCTATGGAGAGAAAGAGAGAGAGAGAGAGAGAGAGAGAGAGGAGTCACATTTCCCTGCATGAAACGAGTCAAGCGAGAGAGAGAGATAGGAGGCTTATTGACCTTGCTCATGAACAACCTCTTCAGTATCACAGCATTGAACTTGCTTCCCGTCCTCCTCACAAGAAAACGGTACAGCTGAACACAGATCAACCGTCATCTTTTTCAACAAAACACATAGATTTGAAGATTTGAATATAAACACATACATACATATATATACACACAGAGATAGAGAGAGAAAGTGAGAGAGAAAGAAAGAGAGGTGTGCCTTGACGAGGAGCTTGAGATAGATATCTTGGGATTTCGTGGCGGTCCTTTTGGTCTTCTTGCTCTTGCCATCGGCTTTCAGATCGATACCCTATCAACAACAACATGTTATGTTAATCCAAGAAAAATGATAAAGACGTAGAGACTCTGATTAGGGTTTCAGAGAAGGAGACATAGATACCATGGCTGCTGCGCTTGATGTTGCTGTTACACGCCGCGACTCTGCCGAAACCAAAAATGTCTGCAGATATAGAGAGGGAGAGAAGGGCTTAGGGTTTTGATTACGCTTTTATTTTGGTAGGGATCAGGAAAAAGGTAGGGGTTCACAACTAGCCGGGATTTGATAAGTTTGGGCTAACAGGAGTTGGACTGGGCTTGGCTTCAACCCATGTTCTGGACCGGTCCAGTCTGAGCCTGCGGACACTACATTCCGATTCATTCATCTTATAACTTTTATAATGAAAAACAAGTAATTTTTTTATAAAAAAAAAATAAAACACACGCATAAGGAGTTATAATCAAATATTATTTAAGGTATAATTAAAATAATAATTATAATGGATCATAATCGGACTGGGCTTGGCTTCAACCCATGTTCGTATATCCGCTACTCACCTCTATTGATTATAATATTGATTATGATCCATTATAAAATTTTCTGAAAAGTATTTTTAGAAAACCTAAACCAAGCAAAGTGATTCGGTTCTTATAAATTCCAACTTCTACACAATTTTTACACATACATCGCAACTAATGACTATAAATAGATAGTAATAAAAAAAATAGACAGCAAGAAAAATATCTTTTCATTGACACAAAATTACTTTTATTTTAGTAAAATATTTTGTCATTAAAATATATATAAAACAAATCAACTTTAATAACGGAAAAAAATAAAAATTATTATTTATTATTTTCTTTATTTAAATATTTATTTATGATGATCTTTTTTTTACACTCCCGCCCCTCGGTTCCCTTATTTTTTCCATCACGCGGCCCCAAAATCCCCAAATCTTTTAGAACAAAAAAAACCCTAAATTAATCGTCCTCCTCACATCCATCTCTCAGTCGCCTCTCTCTTCTCTCTCTCACATGCTCTCTTTATCCTCTGCAGGAAAATTCGTTTCATCTCTTGCACCGATCACTTTTTACTCTCTCGTTGCTCATGCTCGATTCGCAACCGATCATCGCACCGCGTTTACTCAACAGGTAAACTCTCTTCTCAATCTGTCTCTCTCTCTCTCGGCCTGATGGTTGTTTTATATATATATATATATATACAGATATATCTCTGA